ATGATATGTTTCTTTCTTTTTAGAAGCGCAAAGCCAATATTAAATAAACGCAGTTATGATTGCATCTTTTGAGCTTTCTGTATTAACAAACGGACCTAATGGCATTTTTAGACGTTTCCCTGCGGTTTTTCATGATTTGTAAGCCCGCAAATCTCGTTCCACACTTGGAAATATAGATGTCCAGACTGGCAAATCAGGCCCCTTCTTATAATGCATCCTTGAAGAGATACCATGTGCCATTAGCCTGTATATTAAATGCAATGCAGCGATTTTAAAAAGAAAGAAACATATCATTTCGTAATTCGGTTGCGGTATGGCTAACCGATAGGATTGGTAGCGAAAACTATCCTACCTCCCGCACGACAAATGTGCACTGATAAATGAAAAATCCGGCCAATGGCCTTTAAAGGCAAATTTGGGCCGGAAATATCTTTTGCTTTTTGTGAAAATATTCGCAAATGCTAACCCTGCGCTACCTTGCTGTATGATCTTTTTTGTTGTTCTTGTGCAAAAAAGATATCTGGCTTTCAAGCTAATCCTTGTCCAGTCTTGAGGACCGAGCCTTTGGACTTGCAACCCGAAATTTGTTGTCTCCATGTACATATGCAATGTTTCGCCGGAAAATCTGGAGCCTCTAATAAGCTCCTTCATGCAGCGTGCTTAAAGAAACTCCACATGCGCAGAAGTACAGATGGGTGGTCGTCACTCGCATCATGCCGTGCATCATGATCATCAGGATTTTTAAATTGCACAAAATTTTAACGCAAGGCAACCCTAACGTGGTCAAATAGAATTCAAATTTGGGCGTACACAACACGCATGCCAACGTTCACGACGCAACATTGCTTTTAATTTCAATAAAACTCATCTTCAAATGCGCCGCCAATGCTGGTGGAGGAAGATTTCACGGCATTCATCTGCAAATTGTACATCTCTGCAATCTAAATGCATAAGTGGTTTGACAGCAAAGCGAATTACCAAAGACGAACGAGTAGCATCTTCGGGCTTTTTGTCTTCGCGTATTCTAATGAACCTCGGAAAGCGAAGCGAAATGCCTTTTGAAGGATCAACCTATAGGATAATCAAGCTATCAAATTGCTACAAGGCCCCTAGCTGCGGTATACAGTGGTGAAATAGAAAGATCTGCCGTCTTAATTTCCCAGACCTAGGAATCAGAGGGGTTCTGGTTACTCTCTTTGGCTCAAACCATACATCTGGCTTTATATTTTCAGTGACATCATAGTGCAGAGGAGGAATGGGGATGATAAGATTTTTAAATTCGATCGAGTGTTGCTCCAGCTCTGCTTCCGAAAATCCGGTTCCAAGCTTACATATTGCTTGGAAGCGAAAGACGTCCATGTCATTCCCATCGGCAGGATCCTCATCTTCCGCGTGATCGGAAGAACCTTCAGCATCATGCGCCTGCCTTTTATCTGTTTTCCAATAATTGTTGTCATCATCCGCAACATCAATAGATGCAAGCAGAAAGCCACCAAACACACCTGCCCGTTTTCCTCTGCCAAAATAGCCTCCAATCACCACCAGGTCGAGTGAATCGCAGGCCGTAGAATTCAAGTAATCCTTCTTGATTTTGAGCCAATTTCTGGATCGTTTTGAGGGCTCATACCAGGAGCACTCGTTATCGAGCGTCTTTACCATCAACCCCTCGCATCCGTCTAAAAATTAAAAGGTTCCAATAGCGAACACCTGTGATTGACCTTTCCAAGTATTCCTGGATTTGCTCTACCTTTGTGCAATCCAAATAGGAGGCGTGATAAAAACACCCTTCCTCGATGGGAAAATTCGAATGAAGCAGCTGTCTTCTTTCTCGAAAAGAGGTTCTAAGCAAAGGGGTTTCGTTCAAATAAAGTAAATCAAAAGCAAAAAGGACAACATGCACCTGCACACTATCAATGGTAACATCCTAAAAGGAGAGAAAAGGGATACCTTTCTTTTTCTAGTGCTAAGTACTTGGAAGGGGAGGATCTTGTTACTGACCGGGTCCCAAGCAACCGCCTCGCAGTCTAATACAAAGGATTTCAACGGCATCTTGCAATTTTCCATGCTTTTGGACAAGTTGGAAATGATATCTGGATACTTTTGGGACATGTCCTCGAGATTCCGTGAAAACAAGGAGCATTTCATGGGCGAACTGTCGAGCTTTGAATAATGAACCTGACAGCGCTCTCCGTCATATTTGTATTCACAAGTGAATGGAATCGACTCGAATCGATCAAGAACCTCGGTAAGAGCAAAGGTTGGATGTGCCAGCATAGGGCGAATGGGACACCCTGGTTCCATTTTGACCTTGCTGGTGATGGTTGCAATACCGCCCTCCGCGATATCCATCAAATGGGGAATAATTCTCTCATATGCCGGAATTTCACTAGCAAGAAGGGAAAAGTCGGCAAAGTTACCTGAACACAGACTTTATCATGGAGACGCCATCTTCAAGCGCGGCATCAAGGCCCTTTTTGAAAAAGGCCTTTTTAATTTCGACGGGGCCTCCTTGAAACTGATGAAGAAACTGCACAGATGCCTGCGCAAGAGCAATCAGTACGGATTGCTCTGCAAGTCCAATACGAAGTTTTCCCTCAAGAGAGCGGATAAGATACTTGGGCTCGCTTCCCCTACATGCCACGAGTAGCGAGTGCACGCGATCTGTTTTCCGAGAAACAGCCTAAAAAGAAAGAATTGAATTCCAACATTTGATCCAGAAATCTGAGCAACCTCTCTTAAAGTCTTGAACACATGAGAAAGGGTAAGTGGTTTTGGAGCCAACATGGTGGTTTGTGTGTGTCTGCTGCTCTAATGTCAATTATGTAAGCACTAAGGTACCTGCATCACCTTTCCCAGATCTCCCAACCGAGAAACATCTGCTTTGATGGAGGCAACGGATTTTCCAGAAGATGATGCAACTGCTCTGATTAGCAGAGACTCTCCAAGACCCAACTCCAAGCCTTCGAAAATAGGTCCCACCTACAAGTATCACCAAAAAAGGCGTTTACCCTATTGAGACACAAGTAAATCGAATACAGCAGCTGATTCCTGCATTTTCCCTCGCTTTCCTGCACCATCAGCTTGAAAAAGAATGCAGACAAAACGCCTTGGATAGCAAGCCTAGATGTAAGAAGCAAAAAAACCTCTTTGTTGTGGCTTCTATCTTTTCAAATGCCTCCGCAAGCTCAAGATATGGAATGCTTCCACTAAATCGTAAGAAGCTCAATACAAACGCCTCGTCATTTGCCGATACAGTATCATCAAGGGCAGCTTTATTTTGCCTGAAAAATGGCTGTATAGGTGTGTCCTTCTGAAAAGCAAAACTCAACCTCGGCTGGAGTATGTCATTGTGAATTTGAGACAAATTCTCGTCGGAAGTCACGACATTGTTGTCTGCAGTTCCCAATGGTACGTTTGATGACATGGGCTTTCCAAAAAAACTCCTAAATTCATGATAAAGCGTGAAAAGCGTACAATAGGTTCTTATGATGCGACATTCGGCGAACTAGCAGTCGAAACGAATAACTCGGATTGATCCAAATTTTTGGACTTGCAAGTTGGTAACTCGATTAATTTTTATTAGCGTAACCAACCCTGATTAGGGTATTAAATTTTATGGCCAGTGGGTTCTGTGCATATACATATGGCAGCGGAACCACAACGCGAATATTGGAATGCTGCCAGGTGCAACCGGAATAATTTAAAATTTATTGAGCAAATTTTTCCAGGGCGAAAATGAGTTGTGTTTGATGGCAGGGGGCTTTGTTTCGCTTTCGGAAATCGGAAACACATCTATAAATCGAGACCCTAGAAAAAGGAAACAAAAGTACCTTTTTTGGCATTGTCCTTGTCACCACCCTCATCGTCGCTAATGATTGTTTCAATGGGAGCGCAAAAAATCCCCTCACACTGGGAGTCCTCAATCTGAATGTAGTCTTTTTCGCAATGTGGTTCCTCCGTATTTTCCTGCATTTCCTCCAGCAAACGGGGCATTTGAAACATTTCTTTTATCTCTTGATGGATCATATTATCACTTTTTGGCATCTGATGCCGATCATCGGCTTTGAGCTCGTCCTTTTTTGCACTGAAATTTCTCCAATTATTCATAAAAGTCGATAGCGAGGCAGTACTGTCCGCATAGCTGGGATATACCTTGACATTGTTTCTAACCCACTTTGAAAGTTGCTGCTGGTTCCTAGCATTTACAAATCGCTTTTCCAATAGGATAATAGCACCCCAATCATTGCGATGCCGAAGACACCTGCCTAAAGCCTGATTCAATGCCCGATATGCTTGAATTTCGTACCTAAAAAATCAATCGTCATTGGGCACCATTGGCTGCCCGTAAGAAGGCCCTTGCTCAATGCGTATCTGGTATTGAAATCTTTTTTCGCGGTGATCTGAATATCTTTAGCAGAGGGAAATGGAATCCCAATCGCTATAACGGCCCGGGCGTTATCATCGATAAAATCAAGCCCCTCAGATACTTTTCCTCTGTAAACGGCAATCAAAATGGCACCGCCGCTATCTTTTCCCGTCTTCTTTGCTTGTAAAGTTGAGGCGGCAATCGATTCATAATACTCATCAAGAAGCTCTTGAAAGCCATTTCCAGACACATTCTGAGGCTCTACGACTAGAATATTGATTTACCTATCAACACCCGTTTTATCTGCGAAAGCTTCGCGAAAAGGCCAGTAGATTTCCACCGTGTGATAGCCTTCTTAAGGAAAGAATACGAAGGGACAAAACACAAAACACCATGCGGAATAAGGGGAAGATATCCAAGAATCGCAAGCCCCATTTCATCTTGGAACGAAAAGGAGTCCAGCGATCGATAAACGCCCTCGTTGTCAAGCCCATTTGGCGAGCGGGGAACAACACCAACCCAAACTTGGTTTGGCGAAATAACATGGTTCGCCTCCAGCCGATGCCCAAATGCCGTTTGCAGCTCAGAAGCAAATGAGCCCATCTACTGTTAGCATGKCACAGCATTACGGGGGAGAGGGTTCCGCTTGTAAGGATGATAGATTTGGCCTCCTGTGCCATGGGCCCAAAAATAATGCCCGGATTGAGACACCAAAACGAGAGCTTATATGCCCTCTTTGAGGTACCGTGATCGCCTACAATTATGTGATGGGGTGCCTAACCATGATGTACGATATAGTCATTAAGAGCCATCTTATAATCTGACAGGTGCTTTTGGTAGTTTTCCTCAAATACAAACTTGAGGATAAACAACAGCCCTGCGAGAACAGTTTGGGCCCCGCTGGATAAAAAGGACAGCTTTTCTTTCTCCTTTTGATCCAAGTCGCGCTCTAGCTCCTGAGAGCGCTCCATTTTCTTCTTAAAGTCGCTGTAATAGAAAATGCTAAAGCCAGCTGCATCGATGGTGGACTGAATCTCGGAACCATCCCATCTATTGATAAACGGACAACAAATGCTTACAAGTAAATTTTGCTTTCATATTGAGCAATCGGTGCTTTCCCCTTGGGCGGCGATTTGAGGAACGTCAACATTTTGAAGATAATCTAAAAGAAAAGCCACCGTCACACTTACACCCTTCAAAAAAGTATAGATGTCTCGGAGCTCCGAAGAAACCCCTTCAAGTGTGTGGGAATTGTTTTTCTTCCCATAAACCATGCTTAGATTGACGAGCTCATTTTCGATCACTGAAATAAATAAAAATGCCTACTCTCCAGCCGATCATTAGTAACCTCATAGCTACCCGCTTCTCTGGCGGTGTCTTCAATGTTGTGGGCCTCATCAATAATGACGACATTGTCCTTGATGTTGATTGCCATTGCTGTCCTGACTTGCGGGTCACAAAGGTAATTGTAAGGTGCAAACACAACTTCTGCCTCTTGAGCAAGAGCCCTGGAAGCATAATATGGACACCCTGCCATTTGAGCAACCAAAAAATACCCTTCACATCGCGGCCATTTTCCACCAGATCTTCGATATCCCAGATGGTATCTTTCATCGCCTTTGCCAAGTTGTCTGCCCGATGGTAGTATTTGCAGGCACCATCTTTGACCATTTCCTTGCTGGAGGTAAACAAAAATTTTAGGTACCATTTTTCGTTCGGATCCGCTGAGTTCAATGCTGCATTCTGAAGACATAAATGATTTCGGCTGCCTAGGACTGCCATTTTCGGCCTATAGGAAGTAGATCCAAGTTCTTTAACTAGTTGTGTAATTTGCCGATGTGTTCTAGAGCATATATAAATTTTTGAAACGCTAGGAGGCAGCTCTTTTTTGAAAAGAATTTCTTGTGGTAATTCCTCCGTCGAAAGCGACGCACATTTTGCGCCTTTTCGGGACTTTTGATGGTGGAGCCAACTCAGAACCGAGCATAAAAGTGAAAGGCTTTTGCCACTGCCGGTCGGGCTCTCGAGAAGAGCGTTTTCGCTGGTTGGCGCACTCAATGCACGAGTAATCTGCAGCGATAAGCGCAAAACTTGCCTACCTTATCCATCATATTGAGCTGGCATGCATATGCCTTGTAAGGGAAGTTTACACTGATCCCGTTGATCGTATAAACCTGCTGGTCTTGCTTCCTGTAATACTTTTCCTGCTTTTCATCGGCATTCTTTGGAGAGGATTTGTCTTTCGCAGCCTTTGACTGCCCTAACTGAGGCCGCTTTGGAATAAACAGAAGATCAAGCTTTGATGCGGACTTTTTCTTGGCTGCAGAAGATGGCGGCAGAAACTCTCTCTTTCTTTTGACCTTGTCTTCATTCATAAAAGAGAGCAAAAAATTAATTTATAAAATCGGCGGATTAATTGCCCTGCCAATGGAGCTAAACTCGCTGAAATTGCCAAACTCAATACTTGTACAGTATGGTGCAACAGGTTGCATGGCTACTTCGGTCGAGCGCGAACGGTATTTGCATCCATTTATCATACCGTAGCTTGCAAGCAGAGCTGGCATTTCCGCCTCCGGACATAATATTTTTAAATTCTATTTTAAAGATCTCCTTGCACGGAAAAGAAATCCTGTCATGGAGCCCCTACTTAATTTTAAAGGATATCCTGAAGGAACCCCCTGCCCTATTTAATAGTCCTCAATGTTTGGACAAAATTTCGCCCAAATGGAGCCCTATAGCTTCAATTGCACCCTCGCCGTTCAAATATGATTGGACGTTTTCGTCCATGTATAATGGGATGGTCAATTCCGACACACGTCATGACGCGTTTATTGGCAGCCAACAGTTGGACCTGGTATTTGATAAAAAAATACTCCAAAAAAACAGGGATGACCCCATCGCCACGGCATTGTCCTTTTTGGTCTACGAAGATGAACTTGGCGATATGGGAAAAAGCGTATTTTCGTGTCGAATCAGAATTACCACGAGATACATGTTCATCCTTACAAGATCATGGCTGGAGCTGCCGATGCAAGGCATATATCGGTCAATTGAAAATCGATGGATGTGCTATGTTGACATGTGCCCGCCTTCGTTTCGACATGAATTTTGCATAAAAGAGCTCGTCAATACAAATTGCCACCTAAATCGTGAAAATGTCGACGATGTTTTCAGAGATGCCGAAGCCGCCAAGTTGGATGTGATCCGTGAGCACATTAAAATTGTAAACTTTTGCTTTTTGGCGATCTTTAAATTGACAAGGGTTGCACCAATGCTATTTATGTTCCTTCCCCATTGGTATCAGGGCATTCGATTGATTGTGCAAAATCATTATTAGCGCCTATTCGATGAAGTTTGATTTTTTGCTTTAATGAGAACGATTTGTGACCGGCCTCACAAAGCCTGTAGCAATTTAATAATTCCAACCGAACTAAGTAATTCGCCGATTATCGAATCGGCAACCATAAGTCACACAATCTCAAAAGAGAGCTTTATTAAACGGCCCTCGCGGCTACTTGGCTTGATTCGAAGCTTTTTTTCGGTCGTCAAAGCATCAAGTCAATTCCACGAGCACAACCAGGATTTCGCCCATTTTGTCGTGATCTCCGGAAACAGCGGTAGCAATCAGATGAATACGCATTCTGGAATTCCTCTACTAATGAGATACCCGGAGTTTCTTTCAAAATACTCGCTGCTTCCCAAAAAAGTAATTGGAAAGGGCACTTTTGGAAGCATCCACTTGGCATCGAGTAAGTGTGACCCGTCAAAGCTGTTTGCCGTCAAGATTTTCAACAAATGCAGAAGCAAGGCTGCAGCAGAGGCTTACTTCACACATCTTTCATCGGAATTTCTGATCGGAGTCTCTTTGCACCACAAAAATATTGTTGAAACTTATGAGCTGGTAAGGTATGGGCCAACATGGCTAGAAATCATGGAGTATTGCAAAGGAGGTGATCTTTTTGAATCAATTCAAAAGAAGCGCCTGTCGCAAAAGGTTGCCGACTTTTTCTTTACAGAGCTCCTTTCTGGGATCCATTACCTGCATTCGCTGGGCATAGCCCATTGTGATTTGAAGCCAGAAAATATTCTCATCTCTTCAGACAACCATGTCAAAATTGCCGATTTTGGAGCCTCTTGCCACTTTTCCATATTAGATAAAGACTGCATTCAACAAGGTGTCCATTCAATTGAAGAAGAATTATGTAGGGGTGTATGCGGCTCGCTCCCATATACAGCGCCGGAGATTTTAACAATGGGGCCATATGATCCCGCTCCAGTTGATATCTGGTCGTTGGGCATAATTTACTTTGTCATGATATTCCACAAAATCCCGTGGCATGAGGCTTCTGCGCAAAAAGACGAAAAATATTTAACGCAGCGAGAAAAGTTCGACCCCATTTCCAGACTCCCAACTCCAATGGCCAAAATCTTGTGCAAAATGCTAGAACCCCACCCTGCGTCCAGAATTACAATCAATGAACTGATAGGCAATACCTATATCCAGAACCTCAATTTTGATTAATAAACTTGAGCACACCCGGCAACATAATGCTCTTCATTTAAAAATAACCCAGCCAAGGCAAGTACCAACTTGGACGCAGTTGTGATTTATGATTACGCTAGCTAAATCGTTCCAAAGTAGCTGAGAAGATTGGCTTTTAACGAAGCCTGCTTTTTCTTCTTGAGATATTTGCATTCTTTTTCGTGAAAGGAATGGGCATCTAGCGAGAAAAATTGTTCTTTTCCACAATGGATACATTTGACAACGCGAATGGGATCTGGAAGTTTCCTATCATTACAGCATTTAAAAGAATGGTCAACTCTCATCACCAAAGGGGGCTGCGTGGCAAAGTTTGAAAGCCGAAAGCCGATCAGTCGGAGTGGATAAAGCCCCAAAATTGAATCCAACAGCTAAAATTAACATTTGCGTAGCCTTTACCTGCTGAGATAGAGGTTCCAACTTCGAATACGAGCTCGATAAGTCGTCCAATGGAACAGGGTCTCTTGTCGTCTGGGATCTTGTAAAAACTTGAAAGGTATCGGTTTTTACACGAAGTGTTAGCGTACAACAAAGCATGTTAGCAGGCATTCGAGAGAGGGCATCAAAAATAACCTCCTTTAAAATTTCAATTGAAGTGTTTCTCAACACAGAAATATCGGTGGTAGGCTGAAAGGACCTATCAACACTAATGCTCTTCTGAATCCCCAAACAATTACCCTCCTCTTGATCGTCTTCAAAGCCATCTTGTTCATCATGATCATCACTCCTAGTCGAATACAGTCCCAGAGCAGAAAACAAAAGTCCTTGCCAATAGTTCGGGTCATCAGCATATATCAGGGCCAGCTTGTATCGGTTTTGGAAAATGTCGCCACAAGTACGGATTTCAAATGCGGTGCCAAGAATTTGCTCCGAAACAGGGCCAATGCCAGGAAGTTTTCTTATCGACTGTGTTGATAGCCAGTCTTTAATGTATTCAAGCGACGATGGCAGCAAGAATTGCCCATTTGGTTTATTTACATTTGAAGAGATCTACCATTAGGCATCATGCTGCAAACTATGTTACCTTTGCAAGGGTCCTACAGTAAGCCATACCAGCAGAGGAGACAAGGCCGGTTTCCAATAAAATCTCCTCCCTAATTTGAGTGACCAGTCTACTCCGGTCTTCTATGGTGGAATTTTTTAACAGATGCGATAGATTTAAGGATGCTTCGTCAAATGAATGCGAGCGAAGCTTAGGATCATACCTCTAAAATCAGCCACGCTATACACTTACTCGAAGAATTTGTCTTATGCGCATGCCATACGCTTCGTATATCTTCATGCGAACAGGAAGGATTACCAGATCCGGACATAGTCGCATTGCAATATATCCAGGCATTGCAGAAGCGATTCCGTATTTGCGAGCAGCATAATTTGCTGTGGATAGCATTGATAGGTGGCCAACTGCCATCGGAATGGCAGCCAAACCGGGGTTAAGCAGCTCTTCAATGGAGGCGTAAAACGCGTCCATATCCAAATGCATAAAGTATGTCTCTGATTGCAGAACAGACTCGCTTTTTGCAGTTGCCTTTTTTATGGCTGCTTCCACAGTCGAATCATTGTGGAGACACTGGGTTTGCCTGATGTTTATAAGTCTCATTTTCAAGTCTTCAACTTGCGCAGAAATCCGTCTTGCCTTTGCATCTATCGAGTGCTGGAACTTTGACCCCGCTGTGATGGACTTGATCAACGAGCTTATAGATGACTTGTCAACATTTTGAACACCAGACTTGTGTAGAAACGACTGTTCAAATCCATAAATGGGCTTCTGAACGCCTTCATTGGGTTTCATTTTACGTTGCCCTGTAAAAATCGACCGTAATTTTAATTGTCAATTTGTGCGGCGCACCAAATGCCAACCCTTCTCAACGGGGCCAATGCATGGAGGCAATTTAATTTCAAATGCAACAGTTGGAAAATAGTTTGCAAACCGGACATCCAAGTTTTTAATTTCAAATCTTTTAATCATTCTCATGTCCATTTCAAGTGAGGAGGTAAACTACCTCATTTACCGGTATTTGCACGAAGCTGGTACGGTTTCGTTGGCGCTCATTAATTTTAGGCTTCCTGCACTCTGCATTTACATTTGGACATGAGTCCTTGATTTACAAGAGCCATTTGAAGGGAGATACTGACGACTATGCTGGTCTATTGGTCTCTCTTCTTCACAAAGGGCTGTTGTACTTCAAACTGGAATACCACTTATCGGAGGCAAGATACCTTTCCGTTGATCCTTTAGGATGGAACTTCAAAGTCTTGCAATAAGCCATTTGAATTATTTGAGAGCCATGTGTGTGGAACTGAGGCCGTCATTGACCTTGATTCTGATGACCAACGGAAATCACCTTTGGAACCGACTGCCAAGTCTACGAAAAAGCCTAAAAGCGATCGTAAAAAGCGGGCAGAGGACGATGTAATAAAAAAGGAGCCGCAACCGTCTTCTTTATCCATGGGGCCATCATTAACGGAGCCAAAAAAGCAGTCAAAAATGCCTGTCATCGAGCCGCTAAGGGACCAAGATCTGATTGCGGCATCAAAAGAGCCTTTTAATGAGGTAATTTCGTCCTCCCAGGAGCTTATTGTCTCCTCTCCATTGCCAGAGGAGCTTCAAATAACATCGCCGGTTACCACCCCAAATAGCCATTTCCAAGCAGAAGCCTTGACCCAATCTGAAATGGAAAAAAGCACATCTATGGACTTGGACCATAAACGTGAAATGGAAGTCCAAAACAACGACCAAAGCGCTCCTGTGCAAACGCCATGTGATCTTGAGCTCAAGGTGCAAACCCTAACGCGCCATTCAAAAGGAGTATTTTCTGTTGCCTTTAACCAGTCAACGCCCTCCTTATTGGCTTCGGCGTATGTTTTTCTATGCTTTATTTTCCTAGTTCTTCAGATGGCACTGCCGTTATTTGGAAGATCGATGACACGGCCAATGGTATGCTTGACAATCCACCTGTTCCCTCATCTGCCTCGATTGTTGCTGTTCTTGAGCATGTTGGCGAAGATGGATCTCCAATTGATGCCACAACTGTCGAATGGAGTGTAAGACGAGTCTTCCAATTTTTCCCTTAGCATTCTGGAAAGCTTCTTTCAACAGGCACATACGATGGTTCGGTGAATATTTGGAATGCACAGGGATCTCTTGTTTGCAAATTGACGCACCATACGAGGCCTGTTTTTACTGTCAGATGGAACCCCAAAGATACGTTACTTCTTGCAGCCTCATTTGACAAGTCTGTTTCTCTCTGGAATGTGGCTTCTGGAAATAGCTCTTTGTCGACTGCAAATGGATTTTCAAAACCAGTTCCGCATCAAATCTACACGTGCTTCTCAGGGCCTGTGGTATGTGTTTAACCGATTTCTAATATCTCCAAATAGCTCGATGTGGATTGGAAAAATCCTACCATCTTTGGAGCAGCTTCTGATCATTACATTTACATTTGTAAGGTCGGCGAATCGGCGCCATTGATGGTTTTTGATGGGCACGTGGCCGAGGTAAACTCGCTTCGTTGGGATCCAACGGGGTCGCTTTTGGCCACCGGTTCGGATGACAAAACGGCGAAAATTTGGAGCATGACTCAGGACACGCCTCTTTTGACTCTTTCCGGGCACACCAGAGATGTATACTCCGTGGCATGGTCGCCTTCCCGCGCGTCCTTGCTGGCAACAGCCTCATTTGACGGCAGCGTTCGGATATGGTCCACTCTTGACGGCTCATCTCTTTTGCTATTTGCCAACCACAAGTTTCCCGTGTACACAGTCTGCTTCTCCCCAGATGGGACCTATTTGGCATCTGGATCCTACGACAAAAATATACATATTTACAGGCTTTCTATTGAGGAGAGGAACTCTACCTTTGCAATCTCTGCAAACACAGCATGCCCCGATGCTACGTTCCAAGATACCGGCGGAATATACGATCTTTCTTGGCATCCCTCTGGGCGGATTCTTGCGGCTGGAAGCGACTCTGGAAACGTTCAGGTTATCAGCCTTGTCTCTAATGGTCGATCGTTGTAAATGAAATAAATCCAGCAAGTTGCCACTACGTAGCGCGGACTTGATGTGAAGCCGATGCACATGTCAAAAAAGTTGTCTTTTTATTGCTTGCATGCCCGTCTGGCCTTGAGGCGACGGATTATAAACATTGGGACTGGAAGAACCACAGACGACAATATGGGCAAGTATATGGAAAGATACATCAAATCCGGCTGTGGTCGATCATTCAGCAGCTCCTTCTGTGCTAGCTCTTTTGTGTCAATCAATAATTGGCAGTAGTCGGCTAGCTCCATATCATCGGACAGTTTGGAATGGATCTAGAGCCGTTGGAATGGGGAGACTTACCTGTTCATGTGCAGCGGCGGAAAGCCTATGATGTTCCAATGTCCTACCAATAGCCACCTGAAAAAGCGATTTAACAAGAAAAGACGGCACAAAATCAGAAATGCCCGAACTTTGGCTGTGATAGTCGATGATTCCAAACCCATCGACAACCTTAGTAGAAGGTTTGAAATGGGCATCATCAACAAACACATAGTGCAACGTATCGGAGGTGCTGTGTGTCCTCCCGGTTTTTTCGACAATCAGTGGAATGAGCTCGTTGATAAGTGCTGGCCTGTTGGTCCAATTCAAGCACAGAGTGTAAACTTGGAAATTGTCTCCCCAAATATGGGAGAGAATGGGTCGCTTGCTTTCAACAAACTCGGACAATTGCTTTGAAAAGACACTGTAGGAAATGGACGGCGAAGCAGAAGAAGACACATAAATGGCCACCAAATCTAGCGTGTTGAATCCCCTAGCTGGTACCAAATGACTAACCGGTTTTTCGGCCTTTTTTAGTTGTTCATAAATAAATTCGGGGTTTGTAGATAAGTGCGCTGGGTCAATCAAAGAAGATTGTATGATATGCCAAGATGTGAAAGCAAAAATAAAAATCTGCACCACTGCGATGATTGAGAAAAACTTTAAAACCAAGCCTCTCAGTTGGGGATCTTCAATTAGAAACGAACCAAAGTTACCTAAAAGAAAGCTTTCCTCAGCATTGCTGGCTGTATTTGATGAATTATCGTGCAATTCGACATTCCCGCTGTGAACTTCAGTATCTTCGTCTTTGTTGTGATGGGAGTGCACACCATCACGATGAAGCTGGCGAGTACACGCAACATCGGGAGCTTCCATAAAAATTTTGTACACAGAAAGCAAATTTAATTATCGCCCACCTCGCCAATGGATTTTAAAAAAGCCTCGTATTCCAAATCTATGTCGTCTTTGGATGGGGCATTTTTCTTTTGCACAGCCGCCGATGGGATAAGGGATGGCGTTTCGGCTTTAAGAGAAGGGCGCGACTCGGACACCACGCCAGAGGCAATTTTCGACGAAATATATGGTTTGGGCACCGGATGCTGATTTTGCTCCAACGTGGGTGGATGTTCCATTCCAAAGGGTCTGCGGATGGCTGCGGACGGTTCCTCGATTATGGGCGCCGGCTCTCCGCCAGCAATGCTACCATCCTTGGTAGGATTGCTTTCGACAGGCTCGTCGCCAATTCGGATCGGGTTGCATTTGACTGGAGCGAGCCCTTTTGTTTCTCGTTTCTGATTGTACACCACCAATTGGCCAGCCAAACGCTTCTTCTTCTCTTTTAGGGCCGAAGATAAGCCCTCTGCTGATATTAGTTTCTCTAGTTCATACACAAAGTTTGGGATGGCATCGCCGGATTTTCTCGATTTCGCGTGCTTCTTTTTTAGTGGCACCTCAGCATCGCCAGTTCTATCACTTATCTACAATTGAGAATGCCATTTGGATACCTTTTTTTGTAGTGCCCTTTGTTTCTGCTTTTTCCAGTACACACCCATCGGTGTTTTCCCGAGCTTGTCCCCCTTGGCCATAAATTAATTTGTAATTGTGGAAAATAAAATTTATTCGAACCAACCAGGTGCCGTGCATGCTGTTTAAAAGTTTTCAATTGAAAGTGAGCCGGCAGCATAGGAAACCGAGGATTCATCCATGTCAGTTACTTTTGAAGACTGGGCGTATTTGACCCATTCGAGCCGGGCGCCGCATGCGTCCCGTAAAAAGCACCCCAAAAACATGAGCAGCCCCAAAGGATCTTTTCCGCAAATCGTGTTTCCGTATCTTTGCAAGTACGCATGCCATTCTTGAAGGCAAAATTTCTGCAGCACCTGCATCGCCTTTGTATCGAGTTCCTCTATTTGCATGTAAATGGGATCGCAACACCTAGGAGCTAGATAGCAGTACTGGAATCTTGTTCCCCAATGGCAAAAGTCGGAAGAGAACACAAACACGGTGGAGCTGGAGTGGCGCCATATTTTCTCGACCACAGCCCCATGGCTCCCATCATCTTTGCTAACATAAATGGGAAGGATTGGTATTGTTGAATGCCGCATCAAATACGAAATGAAGGGAAACATCATTTCTATCGAATGTTCGGCCTTGTCTTCGTTGATCGGCAACACGGGCAGCTTGAGAAGGCTCGCCAGGTCTGTGTCTACATACAAATTTCCAAGTGGCGATTGTTGCACTTTGTATTTGCTTGTCCATAGGGTAGCCTTCTCGCTGCGGAACTGATGCAATGGGCCAACAAGCACGATTGTGGAAATCCTACCGAATCAAAATATCCTTTTACTGGCCTCGAAATCTCCACTTATCATCGTGTGTTTTTTCGCAAAGCTGTTTAAAGGCCGCTGCGGCAATTGCGCCGCTGTAACGGATCCCTGCATGCGGCGCCACTATTGCAACGACCGATCTGCCATTTTGGGGGATCAATTCGGCATTCTTGAACAAGATTTCCATGTCACTTCTGAGTTGGTGCTCTAAATGCGTCAAAATTCAATAAGCAGGAACCATCGCTGGAATACCAAGAGCCGGCATGGGTGGCAGGCCTGACAGATGTCATGAGACTGTTCCAAACGAAACTTTAATTTTTCGGAATTAATAAACTCGGTTTTTTAAAACTTTGCCCGCATATGCTGCTCGACGACCAGCACATATGCGAAGCGTTTCGGGCTGTCGTTCGCAAATCGAGCGTCTTTGAGTTAAAGTTGTTGTTTGATTTGACACCAACCCATTATTTTGGAGTTGAGCTTTTGTCCGAAGTTTTGGAAAAGTTGCTTTTCAACATGGAGTCGACCGACCATCAAGTCCAACATGTGATGCCAATTGTTTTCTCCATCATATTTCGAATGGAGTACTGCAGATTGGTGTTTAAACTTCCGCTTTCAACCCTTTTAGAACGGATATTTTGTTTGTATCCAAAATTTAAAGGCAACAGCCAATTTTTGAGTGTTTTTAGGATCCTTTTTTCGTCGTATGTGCAGTTTTTGGAGAAGAGAAAGGACCATCTCGAAGGCCACGCCATCAATCGCATTTTAGAGTCGATTGTACCGGTTGAAGACTTTATGCCCATTGCTGACGCTATAATTTCGTCGTTAGCCTCGACGCGAGGCCCCATATCCCGCTCTCCAGCCGTTGTGAATGCTCTCTCTTTGATAGTCGATTGCTTCTGCCGTAACCCGTGCCGATTTATCGAAAACAAGCAGCTACTTTATTTGTGCATCGATCTTTTGCCAAGTAATTGTGCCGATATTTGTAGGCTATTTTGGGCTTTCCAGCAGCAGTTGGGATGTGTTTCTTTGGGCGCCTTTGAATTCCTACCGATGTATGTGAAAGTCTTAATCTTGAAAGGGGAACCCTTCATGATATCACCGGATTTATTGAGAGAACTGTTCAAGCTGCCCAGCACCAAATACGAGCCCTCTCTATTGCTAGATGTCTTCAATGCAGTGCCAACTTTATTTAAGCAATCGGTTCTGGAGCTTTTTGGAAAAAATCCTAAACAAATTGGAAGCATATTGAATGCACTCTCGTGCGCATCTTGTGGTACAAAAGATGGAAGAGCCAATCAATCAAATGCTTCTTTAATTGATCTCCTCTGCCATGGATTATCGCTTTTATTTTCCACTCGTCCAGGAACCATAAATTACGACAGCGAAGAAAAAGCACAGATCTTTGCATTGTATTTGGACTCGCTTCTGTATTCAGATGTGCTATTTTGGTCTGAGGAATCAAATATCGCCATTTCCGCACAGTTGCTTCTTATCATAGGAGCTTTGGACTCAATAAGTGTGCTTTCTGTTGAAAATTCAGAGGCTACGGCCATTCAAATGCTGATGCGCTGTTCTCGACTGTTGCATCTTTTAGTTAAAAGCCACTTTAATGCAGTTTTGAACGCCATCCCCCATTACGAGTTTGCTTTTTGCAGGCTGGTTTCGCATGTGATCGAGCTATTTTCTTCGCAAAACGAGCGGCAAGGGGAGCCCGATGCCATCAAGGGTGTCCTCTGTGTTATTTCAAAGATATTTTCAGAAATCAGAGCACACTCGGAAAGTAATTTCATGAAGTACATGATTCCGCTGTGCGTGTCGCTGCTAAAGATCCTGATCAGAAAGGTCTCCGACTCTTCGAGCAGCAATTTGCTGCTCGTCCGCAACGTGGTTAGCGAAACCCTGTATGAACTGCTAAATTCGTTCACGGCGTTCGACAAAGAAGTGGTCTTTTCCCTTTTGTCCCCCGAAATTGAAAGGCCGTTTTTTAAAGACCTGTATTCACGGTTCAACAATGAATTCAAGTATCATGGGAAGGTTTAAGCTGGCCTTCGTTGGCGAAATAAAGTTTAATTTAATAAGCACTGGCTTGGGGGTCCTTTTGGCGCTTCCATTTTTTGTCAGTCTGGTTGTTTTTGTAGGACGGCTGCTTCTTGCGATCCTTGGACGCCAAGGCGGCAACTAGCATTTAAAACAAAAGGCTTACCAATGTTAACGTTGGGCGGCACCGTAAAGCCAAACGAACGGCCCACTTTCAGCAAATCAAGAGTGTTGACGTTAAATATTTGTTTGAGCGAATGCGAGGCATATGCTTGCAGGTACGAGGCAAAGCCGTCTCTTGCAAGCCTGTTGAGATAGTAGTTTTTTTCAACAAGGCCCTCAAGTTGGACCTGAATATTTGCGATCTTTGCAGAGGATGGCAAGTCATATTCATTTAGCGGGACTTTTGCCTCTTTCAGGAAGTGTAAAAACCCAACCTCCGAGGGGAGAAGGAAGAGAAGCGCCTTTCCAGACTTTCCGGCGCGGGCCGTTCGGCCGACCCGGTGAATGTATTCTTTCGGATCATCGGGCGGGTCATATTGGATGATCCAATCAACTTGGGGGATGTCCAAGCCCCTCGCAGCAACGTCTGTCGAAAGCAGGATCCCCGTGTCCTTGTTGATGAATTCGAAAAACGTCGAGGTTCTCTTTGACTGTTTCTGCTTTCCGTGCAAATCCAACACAGGGATGTCAATGTAATTCAACAGGTCCGAATAAAACTTTACCGCGTTGCAAGACGAAAAAAACACCATGATTTTTTTCTTGTTCAGGTACTTTTTAAGGAATGTAAACAGGAGAAGGAATCGCTGGTCAGAGTCGATCACAACATAGCCCTGTTCGAGCGTAGAGTTGGTAGACACGCTTTCCTGGGCATGCACATTTACATAAAGAGGCGCACTGTTGAAAGAAATCCTGACAAGGTCGTCCACTTTCGTTGTCTGCGTGGCGCTAAACAGCAGTGTTTGACGTTCCTTGGGAAGGATCGACAGGATGCGCTTCATTTCGTCCTCAAACCCAACCTCCAAAATCCGATCTGCTTCATCAATAATTAGCATCTGCGTATTGGAAAAGACAAACCCTTTGGTATTTTGCAGATGATCGAGCAATCGTCCTGGCGTGGCTATCAACAAATTGACGCCTTTTGAGAGCTTTTCAGCCTCGGCTCGCCTATTGGCGCCCCCAATGACCAGGCCAAAGGTGTGAGAGTGGTGGGCAAATATTGTCTTTGCAACCCCTAAAATTTGAAGGGCAAGTTCTCTTGTCGGGCTGATGATGATTGCTCCGGTGCCATTTCTAGGCCGAAATTTGACCTTGTAAAGGAGCTCGACAGCGGGAATCAAAAATGCCAGCGTTTTTCCGGACCCGGTTTTAGCGGCTGCAAGCAGATTTGTGCCAGTAAGGGCAGGTGGAATGCATCGTGCCTGAATTTCAGTCATGTTGTCAAACCCGAGCTCCTTGATACCCTTTAGAGTTGGCTCAGAGAGCGTTTCGATTTTATCGAAAGCGTAGTTGTGGACCTTGGCACCAGACAGATCGGCCTCGTTGATTGGGGAAAATGAATCTTTTTTTTCTTCGATCACATTATTGCGCGAAGAAAGATTTTCCATCGTGTGTTTTTCCTCCTCTTCATGAGGATGGGCGGAGGATTTTCTTTTTCGCATTACGAAACCAAATAAAAATGCAAATTAAATTTTATGGCTAAAAATTCGGCATTGCTAGTAGGTCGACCGCCACCACCATCATTTTCAATGTAGGTCTCCACTTCCCGGTTCTGGTTTAACTACAGACATGCGGCAAATGTGCTTTCAGTATACTATATTTTGAAAAAATTTGGGTATTCCGACGATAGGATTCTTCTGATGTTGTCAGACGATATCCCGTGCAACTCGAGAAACAAAGAGCCGGGGTGTGTGTATAACCATTACAACCGAAACGCCGATCTATTTGACGATGCGCCTGAGGTCGATTATAGCGGGGACCAGGTGACGCTTGATTCGTTCCTCTCTGTGCTCAAAGGTGCGATTTCCGCTTTTACCGGGCAAACTAGATAGCTTTGATACGAACACCCCGCTTTCCAAAAGATTGGTAGCAGATGAGAATACGGACTTGCTAATTTATTTGACCGGTACGCCATCGAAATAATGCAATAGGCCACGGCGGTGAGGGGTTTTTGAAGTTCCAAGATTCCCACGAAATTACGGCTAACGAGCTTGCAGATGCCATTCTGCACATGTACACCAATAGGAGATTTAAGTCCGTACTGCTGATCATCGATACATGCCAGGCCGAATCGATGACTCGGCTGATATCGGCTCCCCAAGTGATCAGCATCACCAGCAGCAAAATCGGCGAGTCCTCATACTCGGTACATCATATGCGGGGTAACCCCAATTTAGCACCATGTTGACAGCCTGCTGGGTGTTCCGGTGATCGATCGATTTACCAACCATTTGCATTCGTATCTTTTGAAGTACGTCAAGAACCCCGCATCCTCGCCCTCGCTGCACGATTTTGTGGCGTCTTGGGATGGGGTTGAGTTCCATTCAACGCCCACAATTATGCTCTCCGATGAGAACATTGACATTGAAAAGGTGTCTTAAATGGCGTTTAACGGTAGGTTGCCATGTCGACGTTTTTTGTTCCCCAAAAGACCAGTTTGAGAAACGTCAAATTTGAAAAGTTCACAAGTGCGTCTCGATTTAATCCGATCGCCGCATATTCATACAGGCCTCTCGTTTGTGGACAGATTTCGGAAAGGCCATCGATCTCGTTTGTGCTTCAGGATCAAGATTTTTCCATGCTCTACTTTGCGTTTATCCAGCTGTTGGTGGCGATCATCACCATCGGGGCCGTGTGTGTTTTCGCATACTCAAAACATATTAAAAAATAGAGAATTAATCGGAGCGGCTGCGTATTATTTTTACACACTTGGCCTTATGATTTCAGCATTAAACTACATGATCTCCGTGGTCATTGCCATAGGCCCTGTGCTTACCTATTATCCCCAGATTTTAACGCTGACAAGGCGGCGGAGCGTGGGGAGCTTTTCCCCCGGCGTTTCTTTCATCCTGGTCGCCTCTAGCATGTTGCGAATATTCTTCTGGTACGCCCGTGGATCCATGACTTTGATAGGTTTTACAAGCGGTTTCAAATATCCCTGCTGATTCAAAGCATTTTGCTCATCATCCTTCACATAGCCATCTTGACGATAATTGTTTTCTTCACAGACTATTTCAATAGCAAGGTATCAAATTCCGATGGCAGCGATCCTCTGGTTTCGAAAGGCCAAATCGAAAATAGGGCATTTCGCGACTGCAAAAGGTATCCCAAGTTCCACCACTTTATTTACATCATTTTGGCCCTTTTTGTTGTGGCCCTTGTAATAGTGCTGTTTGATTGCAATGGGTGTCCCATGTGTTGCTCCACAGATTCGGCCTCTTCCAAGACCGCTTCAATTTACAGACTATGGCCCGAGTTTCTTGGCATCTTGGCACTCTTCATTGAGGCCATGCTTCCAATTCCTCAACTCTATGCAATAATCCAGCAGAAAAGCACGGAAAACCTCAGGTATGTGCATGTGATCACCACCTTAGTTTGGTTTTAATTCTTGGGTGGTTTTTTGGCGACTTTTTGAAGCTGATTTATTTCCATATAAACACGACGCCGTGGCAGTTCATAGCTTGCGGGATATTTCAGTTGAGTCTGGATCTGATCATATTGCTTCAATTTGTCAGGTATAAGGATCCGCTTTAAAATCTCATTTTGGAATATACGTCTTTCATCATCGCAAAAAGAGAGTCAAGGGACAGCTCCACATCCTCTACATCAAATAAACTCAATTAAATGTTGCCTGCTTTCGACTTGAGGGCGCCGGTCATGGCGACTTTGTGCGAAAGCTCGCTCACATATGCGTCTTGTAGCGTCGACATCTGGTCGGAGATCTTTTGCACCAGTAGATCGAGCGAATCGTATAATTGCGCTATGGTTTCTAAACGGGTTAGCCAAAAGCGGAGCCGTACTTTTAATCTTTAAATTAATTTGGAAGAACTCTGAAGAGTACGTTTCTAGAAGCTTATCGCCAGAATGGGCCACAGGCGCTGAAGAAGCCAGCTCAATTAGGTCCAAGTTTGGCGAGTTTGCTATCAAAAGATCCAAACTTGCATCGGTTTTGCAGCGAAAGTCGTCCACCTCATCAGTGTGTGCACTGGCCTCTTGATCTTTACAAAAAAGATCCAAGGTGGCGCTCTTATTGGCAGGTGTGCTGTATTCCTCGTAGTTGGCGGCGCAGATCCTTGTGCTAAACGGAGTGCAAAAAATTTCTTCTTTCATCGGATGCATGGCAATAGGCTTTGCGGTGTCTGGATCATCGCAGCCACCCTGATTTGGGCTTTGTCGTTTAGCCGGCGCCGGTTTGATCTCTTCCGCAGGTTTGCGCTTTTTGGATGCCACTGGAAGAGAGCTGAGGATGGCATTGCCTTTCCTAAATCCAAACATTAAAAAAGAAGACATGAAGTGCATCAATAATGTGCATGCATCAACTTATGCTGCATCATCCATTGATTGCCTGGAAATACGTGTGTAATTTGACAAATTTTAATTTTTCCCATTTCCAATTTTTAATTCTTAAAAATGAAAAAAAGAATTCAAAAGCGCCGTCAGAAAGCGCCCACAACAAAAGTAACCCAAAGGCAGCGAAGAACGGTAAAGGTTGCACCAAAGATTACCGGGATCGATCCATCTTCAATTTGGAACAACGATAAAACAAACTCTGAAAACTACTCCACGCTTGGGATAATTTCCTCGCTCAACAAGCCTCTACATAATAAGCCGATCAAATATCAGCTCAGCGGAATTGAGAATATGCTGTTTCCATCAAAACCGACCAGGGAGTCCGAAATATTCGATTCAAATGAGGTAGAATCGGGTGCAATTGCGATAAAGTCATTTTTCTTGCAATCGTTTGGAGCCCTGCAAAAGGAGCCACCAAGCGAACAATCTCTTCTTTTTAACAAGCTTCCAAAGACGGATGTTGAAAAAGAAGCACAGAAAAAAAAGAAGCTTTCAACGTCCATGTGCGCGTATTTAGAAAAGCTCATCAAACTCCATGGAAGCTCTGAATCGGGCCTGAAGGCCATGCAAAACGACATTGAAAATAACCACCAGCAATTCACTGCGCCAAAGCTGGGCTCTCTATTGAGGCTCTATTCACAAAGTACATAAACTTTTAATTTTCATAATTTGTGCAGAAATGTCATAACGTCATTCTCCTCATGAGGGGAAATCGAATGGCCTAGCCCCTTGTACTCTTTGAACTCAACTGACCGGAAAAAGCTGGAGATTCTACGCGAGCTAACATGGGCCCATTAGATAGGAATAAGAAAATCGGCAGTTCCATGTCCCCAAAACACAGGGACATCAAGACGTATCTGGGGAGACTCCGAATTCATCGCCGCCGGTGAAAAATCGCTCTTTGCAAACGGTAAATAGGACGAAAGGATAATCAAAGCAGACGGTTTTATGTGGCTCTTCAAAGATGCATACAGGGAAACCGCACCTCCCTGGGAAAACCCGCCAACAACAAGTTGATTAGACGGGAATCTCTTGGAAAGTGTCTCAATTAAAGATGCAATCGCAATAGACGAGGATTCAAATCCCTTTCTATCTTCAATAGGCTCTACAGGATCCAAATGGACAATGTCATACCACGAGGGCATCCTCATGCCCCCATTTAGGGTTACCGGCTGAATTGGGCTATGGCATTAAAAAGGGAACCCCATTACGCATCTGGAAATATAAAGAGAGTATCCGGATGTTCTTTATGGTAATGCTCGAAAAACGGAGCCCAGCTGCTTCCCGTGTCACCAAGGCCGTGCATAAATACCACCATCTGCCTAAAGGAGCGGGCAGAGGGCAGCTCGGATAACTTTGGTATCGAGGCATAAGAGAGACCCATACGCAAAATTGAAAAAAAAATTCCAATTAAAATCGCCATCATGCTTCTTGGGTGCATGATAATATGTATGGCGTTAGGGTTGGGCCTCGGGTGAATTTTAATTAAATTTGGGGCGGTAGCTCAAGCCTCAAGCTTCGGCTTCGATTGGGTTGCAATCTCAATTTGATTTAATAAAAACTCTTATTTTGGAGGCCCATTTCCCTTCATGCCACTTCCAAGGAATTGGGATGCAAGGTTTGCAATGTTGGGGTTATTTAATAACCCTTTTGCAGCATCAGAGCTCATGAAATTCTGCGCCATAGACATTAAATTTGGATCGGAAAGTAATGAAGATAGGTCGAATCCTGGAGCATTTGGAGCTGCGTCCTTACTTGAGGGATGCTCATTTGATAACAAAGCCTTGGCCTCTGCTAGTTGCGATGTGATTGACTCGTTTGTCGGATCCGCCAAAGAGGCTTTTTCAAGGATATCCACAGCAGATTTATACTTTTTTTGTGCCAACAGAACAGAGCCCAATCGTACTTGGGCTTTTGTGTATTTGGGATCCAACTCGAGCGCCTTGAGACAGTCTTTTTCGGCGTTTGATAGTGCGTTAGCATCCTCTGATTTTAGGTGCATCCATGCTGCAGCTCTGTTAGAATAAAAAATAGGCTCGCATGGATTGAATTCTATTGCCTTTGTATATTCATCAATGGCTAGTTGATAGTTTTTCGACAGGAGAGCTTCGTTTCCTAAAAGAATAAGATCAGGCACTTATGGCTAACCTTTGGACTTGTGAATGGACGCCATTTCCTTGTCGACCTGCTTTTGGCTAGCCACGTCTTTACCAGTGCCTTCTGGGCGCAACGAAGCATGGGTGAAAAGCGATTCAAGATCAACCGTATGGCTTTCTGAGGCGGAAGAGAGATCGGAAAGGCATTGGATTGCAACTAGATAAAGCTAAATGCCGTCTCAAATACCTTCAAGAGATTCCCTTTTGTCGAGTGAAAGATTTTCGGCCAGACAAAGCTTTTTCAAATAAGCAATGATTGATGGAAGTAAAACTGTCATTAAAAAAAGTTTATGTGAAAATTAAATTATCGAAATGTAAAGTTTGTGTTGCCAGGAAGCTTGAAAATAAATTTTCTCATGCGGCAATGTGGCGGTCACCTGCAAGTGTCTTCTCCATTTCAAAATAAATCCCACCATCTCGGCGGGAGATATTCGCCTTTAGGCGGCTTTTGCACTCAGCACTTCATAAGGTCGTATTGTTGGCGATTTTTCAAACGGTCTTCACCTCCCACGGAATCCCCGGATCATTTAGGCGATACAAAGCCAAAGGGATCCAGGCTTGCATTGGGGCCACCGATTGAGCGCCTGATTATCAGGTCCAGAATGACGGCAGACACCGACTTGGCGCGGCTTGCTTCCAAAACCATCGCTGCACTTACTTATGGATTTTTAGGCGTTACGGTAATGGGCACGCTTGGAATAGATACGACACCCATCATCACTGGAATTGGTGTTACCGGATTTACAATCGGGTTTGCCCTGAAAGAGATCGCAACAAATTTCCTTTCTGGGGTCCTTCTCATGTTTGAGAAGCCTTTTGAGAAAGGATGCCATCTAAAAATCCACGGGGGAGGAGGGGGTATTGAGGGAACCGTGACGGCGATTGATCTTCGACATGTGCATCTGAAATTAGAGAACAGCGAGGCTATTGTGCTGGTCCCCTCTTCAGTGGTATACTCAAATCCTTTGTCTGTGACAAAGCGCAATCATTAGGTTTATAAATTTCAATTTAGAGACCAACTTGATAGTTTATTGAATGGCTATCAAAAGGCTCCTGTGTATCTTGATGCTAAACGTGGTGAGTCCAGTTAAAGGGAAAATTTCATACCACTCCGTTGGTAGAGGCAAGGGCCTTTTCGGCCGACGCCTCATTTACAAATGTTACAAATCCGAACGCACGTGAGCGTCTGTTGTTGCCGTCATAAATGAGCTTGAAAGATTAGACATTGCCATATGGCTCGTAGATGTCTTGAAGAGTTTTCTCCGTGGTATACATGGAGAGACCAAAGATACCCAGCACATTCGAAATCGGTCCAGTGGAGGTGGATTCGTTCTGCCGGCTTTCCGCCATCTCACCTTCAGCTTCAATTTGGGWATCAAATTCCGGTCACTCATTCCAAGTAGACTGAGTCTCGCTAAATTYGTATCGCATGAAGAGCTTGATAATGCATCGGGTAAGCCTCCTATTCACTGGCAAACATTCCAAAAACCCAATTTAAGTAAAATTTACGGCTGAATTAATTTTTCCAGTACAATAAGAATGCAAGGGTCTATGCTTTCAGTTTTTGGTTATGATAATCTTCCTTTGTCAAACGCCTTTTTTTACACGTTTCTAGTCTATTTTATCCTCAACTTTTTGTTTCCAATAAGTCTCAAAAGAACTATTAACATATTATTTTATAATAAGAAAAAATCATCCTCGACTCTATTTTGGAAAGATGACAAAGTCAAACGCAGCTTTTTTTGGGCATTCCTTTACGCACTCATGATCGTTATTATACAAGGCCTGGCGGGGGTTTTTGTTTCCGAAGCTCCTTTAAACCCCCAATATTTAATTCCTATTGTTGGATTCTTTAAAACTTTTATGTCCATCATACGCAAATTCATGCCCAATAAGGATGCCAACAACCCTTCAGAGACTCCTAAAAAGTCTTAAAAAATAAACTTTGAGTCACGGTTAGATTTCATTAGGATGTTTATTGTATAAGCGGGTTAGGATTAGCGCGTTTACTAGGCCTGATGCCTTAACAAACGGAATTATGGAAATGGGCACTTGGTTTTGAGACTGCATCAAGTGAAAGCTGCAAAATGTGAGTAGACTGACGAATCAGAATGCAAGTGGAATTAAATTTGGTAGTAAAAACATTAAATTCTGAGGCGAGACAAATGTGTATTTGGAGGTAACAAGGTAAAAAGGGGTTTCAAAGAGATCATATCAATGCAAGTTTAGAAGATAATCCAAAGGGGTATATTCCCTACCTCAAGCTTTTAATTCACTCCTGGGTGTCTTTGGAAAACTCGAATACATAGCAAATTCGATGTCATTCCCTTTTGAAAGGACCTGAAGAGTACCGTGTTGAGTCTTGACCCAGGAAAGTGGGTTAGCTAAACAAAAAATCAAAGAAATGCCCCGGAATACTACAAAAAATTAGGCTCAGATCGGA